AATAGCCAAAGGCTAACTCCAATTAACACTTGGACCAATGTATGAAATATGAAGTTAAAGTTGTCGCAGCATCATTCACTACAACCATACATTTTTTAAATTTCAGTGGAACCCGGAACTAAATTTTATAAAGTAAGCAATGTAAGGATATAACAGCATTCTTTTAATCAAAACAAAATTTCAAGTTACGAATCTTTAATACCTTTGCTTCGAAAACTAACACCACAATTTTTCACTCTCTTGTCTGTTGCTTTTGCATTCTTTGCATTCCTTTGATAGAGATGGGGATGTAGCGCGCTGCTGGATGACTTAAAGGCTTTTGTGCCTGCCTTACTTGCTCCAGGGAAAGGTAGCGATGTGCTAGGAACTCCTGCGCGCTTCCCTAGTGGAACTCACTTCGAAGACGCGCTTTTCCCAATGAGATCCAACAGTTCCTGGGCCACCTTGGTTTTCTATCTCAGCTCCCTCCAAATCATTACACTGAAAATAGTTCTTCGCTTCCTTTCTAACCTTTTCCGTGACCATCATATAAACATCGTGTTGAACCTGAAACATGTGTTTGACGGAAACAGTTAACTTTTTTTGGGTAGAAAGATAGCGTTTACTGCTTCTTCCTAAATTTGTAACAGCATGCAATGAAAATTGCTTTGTTATTGAGAAAATTGGGCTTTCTGCGCAATTGTTTGAATTTTGTCTGCAGCACATTTAACTGTTAAGTAGTTAACAGTCAACTTACTATTCCTCCAGCACATTCCCAGTCGTTTCGAGTAAAACGCTCGATAACTCCAGGTATTGTCATAGAATCTCCTTCGCTGAATTTAAAAATGTCATTTATTACCTAGAATTCGCTTAGAACAAACTCCTCACTTTGACTGGGCAGAAGCTTTATTTTGAAAATGTCGAAAGAGAGTTGGGGAGAACACTAAGGCGTGTACGAGTTCGTGTTTAACAGTGGCTTCCCATTGATGAATTTCAGCAGCTTTGATTTTGTTAAATTGCTTCGGACATATGTTTACGAAACCGGCAATAGGCCTAAATGCTTTGCTATCCGTAAAAGTCGTAGTAAAAAAAAACTGTCTAAAAGCTGGGGCATATGGCATTTTTGATTGAGGAACATGCCAATCTCCCTGTACTGCACATTTCCACAATCGTCTTGGCAAACGTGCCCGAAAATATATGAAAATCTTGTAACCGTATATGGAAGCAGATCTGAGAGCTCTTTTTATAGAGTTAGCCCATCACATGAAGGAAAACGCGATTTGAATCAGCGTTAGTGGTAGCCTTTTTTCTCGAAGCTTGTTGTCCAGTACTTTGAAAGTTACGAAAAAGTTCCTAATTAACCTTCTCGGAGTTTGTTCTAATGAACAATGTGCAGCAAACGCTAGTGTCGTGCTTGAACAACCATCGTCTTTTGCCATTACGAAAAGAACAAAGTCTGCATTTCGAAGTTTCCCTGAATGGCTGTTGCTTGAGCTAAGCTAAAACAGAGCACGGTTTTATTGTACCTCCCCAATTGTCTTGCCTTGTTTGACATACGTTGTTTTCACAAACGCAATTCTGAAATGGCAAATGGCATT